CTCCCAGAGTACTGGGATTATAGGAGTGAGCCACTGCCCCACCCGCTTTATTTTTCCGTTAGCATTACTTGGCTTGTTTCAGGACCGATATTCTGTTATATAGATTTACCATTCTGTAGTCAATTTAACTAGTCCCCTAACAATGGGCATTTCAGTTTAATCTCTTACCACTACTCCCAGTGCCTCTAAGAATATCTTTGCCTACTTGGCACACATAAGAAAGAATATCCACAGCCGCACAGTCCAGCATAGTTGCCACCAGCCCCATGCGGCCATTTCAGTATAAATTAGTTCAAATTAAGTAAAATTTAAAATTCAGCTCCTGGGTCAGCCAAGACACGTAGGGCTAGGGGCCACCACACTGGCAATGCAGATACAGAATGTATCCAGCGGACAGGGAGTTCTGGGACAGCCCTGCTCTCTACATGACATGTTCCCAGAGGGGAATTGTGAAGCTGTAGGGCCGTGTTATCTGAGGCCTTGACAGACACACCACATTTCTCTCTGAAGAGGCTCTAGCTATTAAGTGCTGAGGGAGAGCCACACTCTTTTGTTGCACAACAATTGTATGGAATGTTGGAAGGAACAAGAAATGTTTGTTCCCTGTGTACTGATTCCAAGGACGTTCTGTTTTCCTTGTTGGTGCCCACGTGGTTCACATCAGACACTGCTGTTCCCAGCTTACAATGGACAGGCCTGTCCCTGGGACTGCACACCACGTCTCCCTCTGAGCCTGGTCTCCTGACACCTGGTTGAGGTCTGCTTCTCCTCAGCTGTAAGCCTCTTTCCTCTGCATGCCCCATATGTCACAGGGAAAAGTGCTACTCCCCTCAAATATTTAGCCCCCATTTCCATGAGACAGGCTTTACTGGAAAACTCAGTACCCTTGACTCAGTCTCTATTTCCTCGGCTCCCACTGTCTTCTGCCCCTCAATCCCTTTGGTGAATCATGACCTCCATGTTCCCAAACCCAAGGGGCAGTCCTCATCTCACAGACCTTCTGTCTGATCTCTGGACAGCATCCTACATTTTGACCTTCCTTCTTGAAGCTTTGGTCCCTTTGGCTTCCATAGCTCCAGACTCAGAGGTCTCTGTCCCCCTCCTCCACAGTCTCTCCATCCTGCAGTTTTATAAGCTTAGGTGTTGTCTTTTCCTTTGCCCATTTCTCCTGGGCACTTGCATCTGTCCCTGGCTTTGATTGGATCGCTACATGTGGGGAATGATGGTAACCCATTTTAATTTCCATTTCCTTGATTACTAGTAAGATTGAATATCTTTTCACGGTTTTTGACCTTTGGGGATTTCTTCCATCATAAAGGCAGGGTATAAGTGGAGCAGGTACTGGATGTTAAACAGATTCCAGTCTGGCTTTTGGCTCTGCAGGGCCCCTCCCCATCACGGGTGTCAGGGTGATTCCACCTCTTCAGCCCCTCCTGGACACCGTCCCACTCAACAGTCCTCTTTTGAAGTGCACGCTGTCTATAGCTTCCTTCTTCCTAAACTCCTGCCTTTCCTGTATCTGGGCCACTCCACTTTTTTTAGGGACTTCGAATCTCATAAATGTTAGGTTGGCCAACCTAACCCCATCTTATATCTGAAAAAGCCATTCTGTGAGACTGTTACAGGTAGTTGTACCTCAGATAAGAGACTTGCCATAGGCTCATCACATCCTTGCACCTGTCCAGTTATAAACCTGTCAGAAATATGCTTATACCGTAAGACTCTGAGACCTGATAAGAAGAGCTGGCTGGAGAGTTCCAATAATGAGCTGCACATCCTTGGCACCCTGATAAGAAAGACTTGTCTATAAAACCAGCTTTTTTTTTTGAGACAGGGTCTCACTTTGTCATCCTAGGTAGGGTGCGGTGGCATCATAGCTCACAGCGACCTCAAACTCTTGGGCTCAAGTGATCCTCTTGCCTCAGCTTCCCAAGTAGCTGGGACTCTAGGTGCCTGCCACAATACCTGGGTAGTTTTAGAGATGGGATCTCACTCTTCCTCAGGCTGGTCTCAAACTGCTGAGCTCAGGCAGTCCACCCACCTTAGCCACCCAGAGCATTAGGATTACAGGTGTGAGCTGCCTCGCCTGGCCCCCTTCCCTCCCTTAAGCTTGAGGGGATTCCCCTTTCACTCAAACATAAATAACATTTATGCCTCTTTCATGGAAGTTCATTCTGTCTCAGCCATACACTTGTCTCACCTCCTTAGACTCTCAGCCCCAGGAGAGTGGTGACAGCTGCAGACGGCAGCTCCCCAGTGCCTAGCCTCTGTGTTTGTGGACCAACTCTTGTTGGCTCAGTTTTGCTGAATGGACAAATTTCTGCTTTGACAGCGATTGTTCCATCATGTTGGGCTGATGGTACCCAGATTTAAAAAGTCTTTCTAGAATAGGAAAAGAATGGCTAGAAAAAAAGAATAAAGGAGCCTGGGGGAAGGTAGATATGCATTTTCTTTTTATCAGACATGTTGGAGCCAGGCTGCTAGCAGATCCAACTGGGAAATGCTTTCTCCCAAAGTACTAAGTGACATTCTGCTAGCATCCAAGGACTCTACTATTCAACAGGCTTGTTTGGGCAGTGACAGTACATCTTGATGTTGGGTGATGGCCTTGGCTGATAGATGTGAAAATACCGCATCTGTGCTGAAAGGAAAGAAATTGTATTGGTCTTTTTGCTTGGGTAGGAGAGGAGAGGCTTCCCTTACACAGCCAGTCCTGTGCTTTAGAAGCAAAACTGCAGATGCACCATGGAAATAATCTGAGGCCCTGCTGCCAGAAAATAAGGAAGGGCATCACACAGGCTGATGCCAACACCGTCCTCATGCAAATACTAGGCGGACCAACGCTGGGCTCTGCCTGGAAGAAGGGCAAATACACATTCCACCCTCCTCTTTCCTTAGGAAGGAGAGACTTGCTGCTGAAAGGGGCTTGTGGTGGCCCCCAATTTTAGGTAAGTAATAACCACCTTACTTGGTCAGCCTTTGGTGAAGATGCTTAGTCTCCTAAGGATATGGGAGTATCTTTGGGAAGCTAAGACAAATGATTAAGAGATAATACAGCTTAAGAGAGCACCAGTTTGATCTGCCACTGGGAAGCTGGAAGTAAGGACACCGACAGCTGACAATAATAGAGTGTGCCAGCTGGTGCGGCGGCTCCCAACTGTAATCCTAGCACTTGGGGAGGCTGAGGTGGGTGAACTGATTGAGCTCAGAGTTTGAGACCAACCTGAGCAAAAGCAAGACCCCGACTCTAAAATAGCCGAGTGTTGTGGCAGGGAGGCTGAGGCAAGAGAATCACTTGAGCCCAAGAGTTTGACGTTGCTGTGAGCTATGATGTCATGGCACTCTACCCAGGGCACTGAGATTCCCAGCTACTCAAGAGGCCAAGGCAAGAGGATCTCTAGAACCCAAGAGTTTGAGGTTTTAAGTAAAATAATGCTTCCTCACCAATTTATGGAAGTTCCACTCCTGTGCTGGCCACTCTCCATGTGCCCCTCCAGGTCCACTCTGCAGCCTGGGAGGCTGAGCCCCCAGGGACCACACCACCAGATTCCCCTGCCCTCATGCTTCCTGTGGGGTTTAGCCATGGGTGACCCCAGGAAGAGACCAGAGGGGGGAATAGTCAGGGTATTTCTTCCCTTTCCCTTTCTGCAAGGTTAAGATTTTGGGAGCTCTTGCCAGGTTCTGGAAACTGTTCCTTCCCCCCTCCCCGCCCCCGTCCCCCGCCAACCCTCCAGGAAGAATCTTCATTCTGCTTTTCTCTCAAACCTGAACTGGTTCTTGTCCAGGTCCTGACTGGTGAACTGTCGGCTTGCTGCAAGACCTCTGTCTACTTGAATAAAGGCCATACCATATCACATGACAAAGTGCAAGCAGAACCCCATGGTTTTATGCTTTGTATCTTATATGTAGTTTCATGGTGAAATAGTATTACTCCTTCCCACACTGACTTTAATGCACGTCTCCAGCTGGGCTTCTTTGGTCACAGCCAGAGACAGCCTGCATAGTCCTGCAAAAATGAAAGAGAAAGCAGGGAGGCATTTTTTCTTCTAAACTCTTGTCTGGGTTCATGATCTTGCTTCTTTCCATAGTCTTAACACAGACTCTTCCCTATTTAAGGGGGAAATTTACAGATTTCACTCCACTTGGTTCAGGAAGATCTCTGCTTCTTGCTTAGCTGGCTGGGCACAGGGGCGCCAGTCCACAGCGTCTGCCCCTTCCCTCTAGCAGCCACCCCCAGAGATTCATTCTGGAGGAGCCGTGCATTTGTGTTTTTGCCCATTCGTTTTCAGCTGCTGGTGAGGCTCTCACCCTTGGCCTTCTTGTCTGTGGAAGAGAGTTCTCTCCTGGTGTGTCTCTAAAGCCTGAATATTTGGTCTCTGTGCTGTCCTGGGACCTGAGCCCCAAATGAGGAGCAATCAGTCCTGTTGGGGGGGTTCTGAGCGGGACCTGCCTGTCAGCACTACCCGGTTCTACACCAACTTGCTTTTTTGCACTTCCTCATTTGGGCTCTGCTGAAGCCCATCCCGCCACGACCCTATTTCCTAGAGTACTGTTTTATACAACTCTACCATCCCCTCTTGAGGGTCATTCCCTCCTTGTGCTATGACTGCCAAACCCATAGAGTGTATAAAGGATGGCTGTCACCTTAGTGTGGGGAATCTTTTATTGTCCATTTGCAGAAAATTGTCTCATGTTGCTGGGGCAAACTTTAAACATGCCAACTATTGGAAATATCTTCTGATTTTATCAGAATCCAGAGGTAGGCAGTAAAAAATTCTAATGTAGAGCCAAATTACAAGTCATTAATAAGAACAGGTGCACTGGAAACCTTGACTAAGGGACTACAAAAGAAATAGTTAAAACCTAAAAGAAGGTATCAGGTAAACAGCACCTGACATTTACATTTTGACCCTTCAGTCTGGAGTCTTCCCTCTCTTTTTCAGGAGGTGTGGGGATTACTGTTTGTCACTCTGGAAGCAAAATCTCACAATTACAACAGATGATACAGGTATTCTTTTATTTTCTCAGAGAAGAGGTTGGGGCCTGGCCATGGCTGCCTCTGTAGACCCCTTCATGTCTAAGTGGCAAAGTTCACTTCTGGGACACATCCCTTTCCAGTTGGAGGAGTAAGCAGAGGCAACACTCGCCCTTTCTGCCAGAGGATTTCCCATAAGCGCTGTTCCGTGGATGGCACAGAACAGTGCTTGTGGTCTGCTGGACCGCCGATGAGCTTCTTATGAGGTCCAACTGGAGGCTGAGACTTGGGGTCATGTTTGAATGCAGGCTTCATTCTCATCATAGCCTCCGTGCCTTCCTGGGGCGGCAGCCGTTGTGTGGGATAGGGGTATTGTCTGTGATGGAGATCACTTCCAGGCCCCCCATGGTCAGTCCCTTGATGGCAGACTGGAAGGAGCAGAAAGAAGAAAGGGAAGGGAAGAAAGAGAGCAGGAGGCCCAATGGCTTTGATACCTACAATACCAATCCTATCCTATTCTCCAAAGTCTCCACCCAACCCCCTTAACCAAATTCTCTCACATTATACCTGCTGCTTTTCACCTTGCGCTTTACCGTCTGAGAACAAAGGCTCCTGGTGAACCTTGGCACTCCGTAAGCATCACACTTCTATAGCTTTCCTTAAGCAGTTTCCTTTGCCTGCAATGTCCCCTCTGCTCCCCTGCCAGTACCTATTATTCACGTCAAAGAGACGTCACCTCCTTGGGGAAGCTACAGATCATTCTAGCTAGTGCCATCAGGAAAGGTCATCCCTGCTGGGTCCAGGCTCCTCTGATGGGCTCCCAGCACCCTGGGCACATGCTGTACATGGCACTCATCAGTGTGTCCTGAGGGATCTGTTTGTGATGGTCCTCCAAGAGCCCCCTGCCCATTCCCAGTGCCTAGCATACAGCAGGCATTCAGTAAATGTCTGGTAAATTAAACTAAGTGATCTAGGCCTGCTCTGAGGGGCTCAGTAGATTACAGGAATAAGAGGAAGCTTCAAGCCATTATGGAAATCCACCACAGACTGCTTTTCCACTCTCCATACTTGACTCTCAAACCCCAACTTTTTTCCTGAGAGAAGAAAGCACACAGACTTCAGAGAAGCATGGCCACTTACCAGGCGCCCTGGCCCCAGGCCTTTCACCACAACTCGGATGTGAGTCACACCTTTCACTGCAGCTTTCTGGAGAGAAGGTGCAAGCGGTTAGTACCCCCGAGAGAGAACTAGTGCACCTGTACCTCTAGCTGCTGCCACCCAGAGTGCAAGGGAAAGGGAGGGAAGCAAAGGACAGGTGGCAGCAGTGCAGGACAGACCCAGCAGTGCCACAGAACTCCTATCTCAAATGAGTCACAGAATTGAAGTAACTGTGATCCCTTTAGCCCAGGACTGCACCGCCACCTAATGGAGATTTCTAAATATCACTCTGTTTTTCTCAGGTGTGCAAATGTCAAATTTTAGACCATGAAGTGGCAGCCTGGACTTCAAGGTAAACCTAAATATTCACTTATTCTCTTATCCTTTAAAATCGTTAGAGTTAAAATTTTCTTTCTTGTTTATAAAGGCAGCTCATTATAAAAACTAGAAGACACAACAGAAGTCTCTTATGACCCCCCAATAGAACCCACTGTGAACACTGATATATCCATTTTGGGGCATTTACAGCATTTTGATGATCATTAATAGATAGCAGTTAATATTTTGGGGTATCTTCCTGTGTTTGAAGGTCAAGGTTTTCCTTTAAGAAATATGTCTGGGCCAGGCATGGTGGCTCACACCTGTAATCCTAGCACTCTGGGGAGGCCAAGGCAGCCAAGGGATGCCAAGGTGCTGGACTGCTTGAGCTCACAAGTTTGAGACCTGAGCAAAAAGTGAGACCCTGTCTCTACTAAAAATAGAAAAACTGAGGCAAGAAGATCACTTTAGCCCAAGAGTTGGAGGTTGCTGTGAGCTATGATGGCATGGTACTCTATCCAGGGCGACAACTTGAGACTCTATCTCAAAAAAAAAAAAAAAAGAAAAAGAAAAAAAGAAAGCAATGTCGGGTTTGGTAGAATATGAACACTCGCCAGGGCTGTGTGCCAATAGAGTGCACAGACTGGTCCCAGACTCATTTGAGTCCAGATCAGGGAAATGAACTGGCTGCATGAGCAAGTTGCAGTATCTGAATCTCAGTTCGCTCTTGAAAACATGGGTAATACTCAGGGTGGTTTGAAGATTTAAGATAATGAATGGAAGATTTAAAATAATGAATGTAAGATGTCTGGTAAATGACCAATAAATATACCAATAGCAGCACATTGCCAATTTGTTTCTAGAAAGGTCTGCTATAATTGATACTGGAACTCACATTGTATGAGAACCTCACCATACCACATCCTCTCCAAATAAGACTATTATCACTACATCCCCAACCCCAACTGACCTTTAAATAGGGGTGGGCTTTGGTGCTTGCGCCTTCTCTATCCTGGCTTTTACCTGCTGGAATTCTCCCAGCATGAACCAACAAGTGTTTCACCTCTAATGAAGCTGACAGAAAGAGAAAAGGGCAGCCTTTTCACATAGACCTCTTTAAACCATACTCAGTGTCAGGGCATCTAACAGGAGTTGCTAAACCCCTGCTTCTGAAAGTGCTTCTGAACAGCTAGTTTAATGGGAATTCTCTGTGATTGGCCCTGCAGAGAGCAGAACACAGCACACAGGGAACTGGAAAGAACAAATACTTACCGCTGCTGCAGCTATGCCTGTGGTCTGTGCTGCGATGCCTGTGCCCTTTTTGGCATTCCGAAATCCCTCTGTGCCACAGGAAGTACGGGCAAGGGGCTGGTTGGCGGCAGAGACCACCTGGATCTGTGTGCTGAGTAAAGCGGGGGAGGCAGACGGGTATAATTATCTTTCGTTCAGGGAAATAAGAGAGCACTAACCTGTGCCCGGGGAGGCACAGGTGAGAAAGAAAAAGACATCCAGCTGTTTCCCCTTTGAGTTTCTCAGATGAACATGTTTTGAACTCCAAGAAGTGTTAGAATCCTCCTCTACCCTGAAGTGAAAACTTTCAAATCATATAACCTAAAGAGAGCTCCACAATCTGAGGGTCAGTACGCATCATTGAGAGGAAGGGAGGCACAATTTCCTCCTACTGTCTTTCCTGTAACCAGTATTTAAATTAGATAGGATGTCCTTGTCTCACTTTTTTCCCCTAAGAAATTAGATGTTTCACAGCAGGTAATTAAAAAAAACCGGACTTTGCATTAGGGAAAGTTTCAGATATACACAAACGTGAACAGAGTAACATATGAACTCCCATATTAATATATGAACTCCACCCAGCTCAACAATTACCAACCATATCCAATTCAGTTTCCTCTCTACACTCTGTTCCTATTTCCCTCACCGATGGATTACTTCGAAGCAAAACCCAGGCCTATCATTTCATCTGTAAATATTTCAGTATATTGCTCTAAAATATAAAGACTCTTAACCCTCCCCCCCAAAACCATTATCTTAACTAAAAAAAGTTAGCCACATACCATACGAGATAATTTTGATGCTTATGACATACTAGTCCATGATCAAAAATTATTTTAAATAAGCAAAACTTTTTTTTGTAATCATCTCCAACAAATTAAATTGCAGTGAAGAATGACTTTAAGGAATTCTTAGACATGCTTTCCATTTTGCCTTTGGCCATCATCACTCTCCTTGTGAGCTCCCAGGAGAAGCAGAGGAGCGGCTGGAGGGGAGACCTGCTGCAGCCAGCCCTGGGCTCTAGCCCTCTCCTGTTGGCCTGGCCATGGCTCTGCCGGTTCCTCTACCAAGGTTTCTAAGGTTTTCTACACTGAACAGAAGCATAAGACAATTGCTTGTGCTTGAGACAGCCTAAGTAGTGGCGCACACAGCAGGCCAGATACTTTCTCTCATGAACACTGCCAGGGACCCCACAGTGTCTCATTTGGACCCCACACTCTAGTCTGTGACTACAAAGTCTCTTGTACTCTTCCTCCTGAATTGCTTGGTGGGCAGGCTGTGGCCAAGTACTAAGCCCATTTCCAAGCAGCCACTGACTTGCAGAGGTGTCACTAATGCTAGCTATGTTTCTGTTGACACGTGGTTGGGAACTCCTTTGGAACCTGTTTGTAAGCCACGCAAGAACACTAGTCTTGTCACTTTAAATTCACCACTCACATTTAGCCCTTGTACAAGGTCAGTGCATAGTGGCCCGAGGTAATACTTCAAAGGGACAACACTTATTTGGAAGTTTACATTTTGGTTAGTTTCTGAGTCATGTATTTGTAAACTATCTCTCTTCTTCTTCTTCTTTTTTTTAAATTTAGAAAAATTAGCTGGGTGGGGTGTGTGCCTGTAGTCCCAGCTACTCAGAAGGCTTAGTCAGGAGGATCACTTGAGGCCAGGAGTTGGAGGCTGCTCTCTTCTTATTTATACATCACGCAGCCTCTATCTCTCGGTACTGAGCAACACTTAGTATGTGCCTTCGTGATGGGACCATCTGCTCCTACATTTCTCCAATTCTTAAGCAAAGCCATCAAACACGATTCCCAATGAAAGCAAAGAAATCTTTTTTGTGTGTGTGACAGTTTTATTATGCTGCCCTCGGTAGAGTACCGTGCCATCACAGCTCACAGCAACCTCAAACTCTTGGGCTTAAGCAATTCTCTTGCCTTACCCTCCTCCCTCTGTAGTTGGGACTACTGGAGGCCACCACAATGCCTGGCTATTTTTTGTCATTGTTGTTTAGCAGGCTCAGGCCAGGTTCGAACCCACCACCCCAGGTGCATGTGGCCAGTGCCCTTAACCACTGAGCTATAGGTGCTGAGTCCTTTTTTTTTTTATATTTTTGAGACAGAGTTTCACTATGATGCCCTGGTAGAGTGCGGTGGTGTCACAGCTCCCAGCAACCTCAAACTCTTGGGCTTAAGCAATTCTCTTAGCTCAGCCTCCCAAGTAGCTGGGACTACAGGTGCCCACCACAATGCCTGGCTATTTTTGTTGTTGTAGTTGTCATTGTTGTTTAGCAGGCCCTGGCTGGGTTGGAACCCACCAGCCCTGGTGTATGTGGCTGGCGCCCTAACCACTGGGCTATGGACAAGTCAAGAAATCCAATAAATATGGTATGCCCAATCTATTTCACACTTTCATGAAACTTGAGTACACTTTATAAAGATGGAGGATGGTTTCCCCAAACAAGAAGGAGTAAGCTTGGGGGGGGGGCTTCTACATTAGCCCCATCAGACAGCGTGGGGGTGCCCTGACTTCTACCCCTGGTATTCATGGGGAACACCTAGTGAAGCGGAAAGACACCCCAGTGGGCCTGCCCAGGTGCCACCTTCCTGCTTACTTGTTGTAGGAGGCTTTGATGTGCGCAATCGGGATCTCCTCAAACTTCTTTCCTGCCCACCTCAGGGGACTCTCCTCTCCCAGAATGGGAGGGTAAATGCTGCAATTAGAAGAAACATTTTCTTTAAAATTGTGCTGCTTAAAAAAAAAAAAAAAAAAAAATCAACAATTTTCCCTTTTTTTTTTTTTTTTTTACAGTTTTTGGCCAGGGCTGGGTTTGAACCCGCTACCTCTGGTATATGGGGCCGGCGCTCTATCATATCTATGTTTTTTAAAAATATCAAAATAGTACAAATGAATCCATAATGAAAAACAACAGGCCTCTGCCCCTACCCTAGTCTCACCATTTCTTTCCGATCCTTCTGGTGCTACTGTCGTGTTTGTGACTGCTGTGATTACAAGGCTGTTTCTTGTCTTGCAGATGTTTGGACATTATCTAGTAACTTTTTGCCGTAAGAAAGAGATGTGCATTCATATTCCACATCTTCCTTGTCCTTGCTAGTATAATCATGTCACTATTTTCAAGTCCTTTATAGTCTACTCTTTCTCCAAACCTCAACCTCTGTTTATTGTTTCATCAACCACAGACAATATGTTGACTCTATAAAAATGAGATATAATATTTTAATACTCAGAATATCATTACTATAAAAAAATTTCAGTATCCTAAAATAGAAGATAGTAGACTTTCCATAAAGGACCACAGAGTAAATATTTTAGCTTTTGTTTGCCACAAGGTTTCTGTCCCAACTACTAAACTCTGCTTATATATCACAAAAACAGCCACAGACAACAGTAAACTAAGATGTGTGGCTGTGTTCCAATAAAGCTCTATTTACGAAAGCAGGCAACTGGCCAGACTGGCCCCGGGCCAGGTATGGTTTGCCAGCCCCTGTACCAGACCAGTAGCTGTCAATGCAGGCTGAACATCAGTCACCTGTGAAGCATCCAGATGCTTAAGCTCTGTCCTAGAATTCTGGATGGAGTCTGAGAATTTATTTTCAAACGCCCCAGGAGAATCAGATGTGAACTTAAGGTTGAGAACACATTGTATTGAGTTCAAAATCTCCCACTATCTTAGCCCAAGCCGTTCTCTGGGCTATCTTTATGTCAGCCTCTTTATTTTCAGATGGAGAAAATCTGGTGGAAATAGGGTTGCAAGGGAAGCCAAGCTTTGGCCCCGGGAGATCTGCCTCAGTTTAGAGCTTTGCTCACCAACTTAAGCTTTTTTTAAAAATTCAAACAGAATTTTGAATCCTGCTTCTGGGACAGGAGTAAATCTGCTGTTGCACTTTGTGTACACATACCATCAGATTCATGTTTGTGTCCTGCTGCCACTTGCCATTTTGGAAAACACACTATAATCTGAGTACCACTCTCCCTCTTTTTCAGATACTTTAAAAAAGCAAAAACCACAGTGGTATTCAAAGGTTACAGGGTATTCTTTAGAAATAATTTAGAATGTCAGTAGGTTATGTGCCCAGATGGAAAGTAGATGATTATTTCTCCACTGATAGTTTCTCCTACTGACTTGGGGATAAAAAAACACAAGTTGGAATGTAACCAGTGTAATGCCTTTATGTATATAGTAAGGTTTGGAACTAGGAAGGATTTGGAGCTTGAATCACTTAATTGAAGAAACACAAGATTAGGCCTTTAAACCTTCCAGGTCTGCTGTACAACCAAGTGGCTTACCCCAAGGAAGCCAGAAAAAGGAAAGACAAAGCTTTTCCAACACTGGTCTGTTGTCTCTTCATGTCCATCCTCACACCAGGGAAATAACCGTTTTATAACTGCTGCTAGAGACAATTTTAAAAAATGCAAATACATGCAGAAAAGTGCAAAGATTGTAGTTGCTGGCTTACTTCACCTTTTTTTTTTAGAGACAGAGCCTCACTTTATTGCCCTCGGTAGAGTGCTGTGATGTCACAGTTCACAGCAACCTCCAACCCCTGGGCTTAGGTGATTTTCTTGCCTCAGCCTCTCGAGTAGCTGGGACTACAGGTGCCTGCCACAACACCTTGCTATTTTTTTTGTTGCAGTTTGGCTGGGGCTGAGTTTGAACCCCACCCCCTCTGTATATGGAGCCGGCGCCCTACCCACTGAGCCACAGGCACCGCCCTGGCTTACTTCACCTTAACACTATTCCTGTGCTCTTGTGGGTGATTGCAGTGATTTTCTTCCAACACTTTGGTTCGTTCCTTGACTTCCTTCAGTGATCATATGTCTTCTGTCCTACTGTGACTAGACTATTTCTAAGGTCACACCGAGCTCTTGTCATTATAATACCTCCAACCCCATCATAGACTAGATTTCAAGCACCACACTGTCTGGCCACTTCCTGGTGGACTCACTTGCTCCCTCTATTACTTTGACTCTAGGAACCCTGCAATCCCACAGGGACCTACAATCCACTGATCCTGCCAGCTTTCTACTACCCCTCACACTCCTCATGCCTTACTCCTCTCCTCACCCGACTGCATCCCATGGCGAGTCATGATAATCACTCCCTTGTATACCTCCTCAATTCTCTGTGCACATGTGCTGCCCACTTTACTGCACTGTACTCTCCTTACAGCCCTCCAGCCCTAGGAAAAACCATCTCTCCATCTGCTCTGAGCCTGTGCATGCCCCAGTATAGTTGGCTACACAGCAGCGCTGACTGGTCTCTCTCTCCTAACAGGGTTTCTTAACCTCAGCACTACTGACATTTTGGGCAAGATAATTCTTTGTTGTAGGAGGCTGTCCTGTGAACCCTAAGGTGTTTGGTAGCATCCTTGGGCTCTACCCATTATATACAGTCTCCCAAGTTATGACAACAAATATGGTTTCAGACACTGCTCAAAGTCCCCTGGAGGCAAAATTGCTCCCAGTTGAGAACCACTACTCTATTTTAATGACTTCTGGCATCACGTGGGCCCTCAGTGCTGCCTGGTAACATACAGCACATCCCCAGTTCAATTACCCTTCCATTCTCCAGGATGATTCTTTCATACCTTCTTTTGTGCCCTGGAAACCCCACCTCTTTCCTGCTTCCTTTCTGTCAGCTGATGACCTTCACAGAGACAGAAAAGCAATCAGACTTTCTTCCTACTCAGGCTACCAGACACCTGTGCCCACAGTCTTTGCCATATCTCCTGCTATGAAGCTCCGTTTGAGCATTAGCTCCTCAAGAACATTGCCCAGTATCATCATTCTTTCCCCTCTATACATCATCCCATCAGCAAAACATACTGTCATGTCTCAAACCTAAAAAAACCCCAAATGGTGGTGCCTGTGGCTCAAGGAGTAGGGCGTCTGCCCCATATACCAGACGTGGTGGGTTCAAACTTGACCCTGGCAAAAAAACTGCAAAAAAAAAAAAAAAATCCAAACCTCTTGCGATCAAAAAGCCCTTGATCTACTGTATGTTTCTCTATGCCCCCTTACGCGAATGACTGAACTGGCTTTTCTTCCTATCTTTTCTTCTCCTTGAACACAGTTCAGTCAGACATCAGCTTCCACCACTCCACCAAAATCCACCAAAAATGCTCTAATCCAACCAACTCTGCTCTGTTAAATCTGATAAGTGATTCTGCCATTAGCCTGTTGGCCAGATCACATCAGCAGCATTTGACACAGCTAACCTCCCTACCTTCAACCAAAATAAAAAACAAACAAACAAAAAATCCTAAACAAACCTCTCTCTTGATTTTTTTTCTTTTTCTTTTTGAGACATAGTCTCACTCAGTCACCCTGAGTTGAGTGCTGTGTTATCATGGCTCATAGCAACTTCAAACTCTCGAGCTCAAGCAATCCTTCTATCTCAGCTTCCCAAGTACATGGGACTACAGGCGCCTGCTACAGCATCAGCTAGTTTTTTGTAGAGACGGGGTGGGGTGAGAGTGTCTTGCTTTGCTAACTCAGGAGATCCACCCACCTAGGCCTCCCAGAGTGCTATGATTATAGCCATGAGCCGCCATACTCGGCCTCACTTGACTTTCTTAATGCCTTGTTCCAAGTTTTTTGTTGTATGTTGCTTCCTCATCTCCTAAATCTCTAAATATCAAGAATGTTCTAGGTTTCAATCTTTGGACCTCTTCATCTACACTTACTCTGTTGATAATCTTGTCTCATGGTTTTATATACCATCTACATGATGATGTTGCTCAAATGTATATCTCCAGCCCAGATCTGCTCCCTGAACATTATTTCCTACCAACTACACTGTGTCTTCACTTGTATGTTAATTAAACATCTTAAACTGACCACTTCCAATTCAAACTCCTTCACTCTTCCCCATCATAATAAATGACAACTCCAGTTGTTTAGACCAGAAGTGTTCGGATCTTGACTCTTCTCTTTTTCTCCCACCTTATAGTAAAAAATCTGCTGACTGTACCTTCAAAATGTATCAGTCTAGCCATTTATACTACTGGTTGCTACTGCCCTGGTGTAAGCCACTATCATTTCTTGCCTGGATTATTTGAGTAGTATTCTAATTGCTTAGATGACTTCTCCTAGCTTCTATTCTTACTCCTTTATGGTTTAATGTTAAGACAGCAGCCAAAGAAAAATCCCTTTAAAATGTAAACAATATCATTTGTTTACTCAATGGTCCTCTACTCAAAACTCTCCAGTGGCTTCCCATCTCATTCAGAATAAATAGCTGAAGTCTGGCGAATAGGGCAGGGCCTGCTGGAACCTCCCCTCCCCCAACTTTCACACCCATGTGTTACTTGTTTTATATTTACTGTTTCTCACCCACTAGAATTGAAATTCTATGGAGGCAGGGCTTTTTGTCTGTTTTGTCAGGGATATATCTCCAACATTTTCAACAATGCTTGGCATTGCTGAATGACTTCAACAGAATCTTGTTTTAGGTTCCTTCAGCTGCCCTTCACATCCTGCAGTGGGGACAGTGTAAAAGCTACAGTGTGACAGACAACACCCTCAGCATTCCCATTCCTTCTTGTCTTGCTGGCCTCATTTGCATCACACACACACACCTGAATACACCATGTTCCTGCACAATGCATGTCTTTACACAGACTGTTACTTTTGCCTCTAATAATCACTTCATCTTGTCCAGCTGAACTCCCATTCAATTTACTTTTCAAGGTACTTTAGAGCTCCAGGTTATCTTCTCTGCAGTCTTGCCTGATTTCCTCAGGATAGAGACACTTACTCTTTCACAATTTCTACCAGTTCTCACCTTCATTGTACTACTGATCACATCACACTGAAAATATTTATATATTTATCTTCTAAGAAAGACTGAATTACTTGTAGGGAGGAATGATCTTTGGTATTTGTATTCCCAGCACCTAGCATAGTGTCTGACACATTGATTCTCATAGACATTAGAAAATGTGAAGTTACGGTGGATGTGTACACATCTAGGACATAGAGGTGGCGCACTAGTGGGAAGCAAGATGCCAGTTCCCAGGGCTGAGTACAAAAGCCACCCTGGACCTTCTCTAAGAAGTGTCTGATAATTTGTGCCACTACTTTACATCATGGTCCCCACTATTTCGTTCCTAGGCAGAGAAGGTTGCTTGTCTGACATGATCTCAGTGTTAGAAAGAAAGAAAGCTGATATACTGTACACACGTTATGTTCACTTAACAGTCACTCATTCATTCAACAAATGTTCACTGAACATCTATTTTGTGCCAGGGCTCATCTTATTTGATTCTTACAACAACCTCTCTCAGCATTATCCCTGTTTTTAGGTGAGAAAGCTAAAGATCAGAGATTGATGTGCACAAGGCCTCATGGATGGCAAGTCAGGACTCAGGAGGGTGGTGGGCAAAGTCACAGGCTGCAGGTCTCTCGAGGGCTGGACCTAAGCGGCGCTCACCTGAAGCTGCTGCGGCTCGGAGCTGCCGTCTTCACTTCAACTTCCTGCTTGGCCGCCGCGTCTTGCAGCTCCGGCGTGCGCGTGTGGATGGTCCGGACCGGCGTCCCGACCATGACCCTGCGGGGAGGAAAAGTTCAGGGAGCTCCAGGGCCTGACGGCCGCTGGCACCAGGTAGTTTATGGGCAAAGGCAGCAGCGTGGCCTCTGTAGTTCCGGGGAGTCCAGGAGGCAATCATCGTTACCTGGTCGGTCGGGGCCAGGTCCGAGACCATAGGAACCACAACCCTGCGTTTCTTATGACCTGCATGACTTAAATTGACCCTAGTCAGCTCCCGTCGGTAGCTAAGTTTTAGCGGGGCGGCGCCTGTACCAGGAGCACCTGGTGGATAGGGTACAGAAGGAAAAGTTACCTGATCTCCAGGTGACATCAAAAAAATGTTTTTATTAAGTTTAAATGCACAACTAAAACTATACTCGCTGATTCAATTGGTGATTCCCTTCCATTTTTAATGTTCAGATATCTCCATCCACCCCTCCACATTGGAATGGTCCGTCCTAGTAGTTCTGGGGCCAGGGCTCCCTTGGGCTTGCTACTCCCGCGTTGCCTTATGGGAACATGCGGTTGGTTGAGAGCCGGGAGCCGCGGTGCATTGTGGGAGGCCAGAAAAATGGCGGCGCCCGTTAGGCGGACTCTGTTAGGAGTGGCTAGGGGCTGGCGGCAGTTCGAGAGGCTCTGGGCTGGTAACTTGGGTTCTCGAAGCCTGGCCCTAGCGGCCGCACCCTCAAACAAAGGATCTCCATGGCGTCTGTTGGGCGCAATGTGTCTGCAGCGACCTCCTCTAGTCTCCAAGCCATTGACTCCATTGCAGGAAGAGATGGAGGCTTTGCTAAAGCAGGTGAGACTGAGATGGAGATTTCAGGGTAACGTTGGGGAAGCAATAGCAGCAGGCAGGCCTGAGTTCGAACTCAACTTGAGTACCAGTTAGTCTGTGTTACTCTGAGCGAGCCATTTCACCTCTCTGAACGAATACTGTACTTACCTGCAAAATGGTACCTGGCTTGATTTGATACTTAGTAGGCAACTAACAAAAAGTTTCCCTTTTATTTGGTTTTCTTTGTCGTCACTTTAGGCACCACTTTGGAGATGCTGTCCTTGTTAACGTAACGTAACACCTTAGGGATCCCGTGGCGAACGAGAATCACTGTCATAAGGAACTCACAGTTTGTAGGGGAGAAGCTCTGTGATGGGATGAGCATTAAGGAGGAAGGATAGGAGGCAGCGGGCACATCTGTAAGATACCTGTGATAAACTCTGCTCTGTTTTACCTCACAGGGCTATTTTTGCAAAGGGCAGATGAGGAATCGTGGGCAAAAACTGAGCGTAATGACTGTGAGGATAAGTCCCCACAGGTAGTGATTGAAGGATTTGTTTTCCTAGAACCGGAGATGTTTTTGTTTTGGTCTGCTGCGAGTTGTATGCATCTTTGCTTTATGCTCTGTTTACTTACTCGACAGATGTTTATTACCCACCCCTGCAGATGCTTAGAGCACATACTATGTATCAGCGTGTTAAGTGATAGAGATAATGAATGAGACAAATGTAGTTAAGGTTCTCAGCTTCAGTCTGGTGGAGTGAGGGACTAAGTAACCAAATAGTTACATGAGTAATTGTAGAGGAAAACACAGGTACCTTAAGAATGTTTAGCCAGGATATCTAATTTTGATTTTTTTTTTTTTTTTTTTTTGGCCCGGGGCCGGTTTTGAACCTGCCACGTCTGGTATATGGGGCTGGCGCCCTACTCCTTTGAGCCACAGGCGTCACCCTTTAATTTTGATTTTTATGAGTTCATGATTTTATGAGCTTACGATACCAGCTACTTGGGGGCTGAGGCAGGAGGATTGCTTGAGGCCAGGAGTTTAAGAGTAGTCTGGGCAATGTAGTGAGACCCTTTCTCCCCCCAAAATATGCCAAGGAATGTCTCGCTGAGAAAATGATATTTAAATTAAGATTAGAAGGATGAGTACAAATCTCCTAGGAAAAAGAATGTGAAAAAACATTCCAGGAAGAAGAAACAGTATCAGTAAAGCCTCTGAGGCAGGAAAGTCCTTGGTGAGTGAGATTCTGATCAAAGACTTACATTAATGGAGCATGGAAAGTAGTCAGGTAGTGCCTGTCCTAGCTCTTTGTTTTTTTATGTCAGTCTTCACTCCTAATCACATTTTCACCTTTTGGCAAATGTAATTCAAGCTCAAGGTGCAGGTGCCCCTTTTCTGTGTCTGTAGTATTTTGATTCCATGTCTGATTATGTTGGGTGATAAAATTCCGAGCTTGCCAAATGTACTCTAGCTCTATTTATTCTTTTTTCTTCCTTTTAATTTTCCCAGGTTGAGTTAGTATTTTGCTGTTTTAATTTTCCCAGATCGAGATAGAGAAAAGCTTGTATTCAGACCATGAGCTTCGTGGTCTGGAAGAAAGCCAGCGACTGGCAAGGAAGAAAGCTGACTTTTATGATGAAGAAGATGAAGAAGATATATTGCTGGCACAAGATTTGGAAGATATGTGGGAACAGACATTCCTACAATTCAAACCTGGAGCTCGCATAACAGGTTTGTAATCTTTGGGCCAGAGCAAAAAAAGGGTAGTCTGGTTCCCAAATAAAGAACATTTGCTTAGCTCCTGCTGTTTCTCACAGTAACCTCTTTCAGAATGAGATGGAGGAAGTAAGAAATAATTTCAAGTAACAAAACTTTCCGGTGGAAGAAAAGTACGTTCTTTTCCCTGTTTCTCACATCTAACATTAACTTTTAAAAGGTCTGTGTTATTTTTGAGTGAGAGATAAGAGTACTGAGATAGCATTTTCTCTCTCAGTTCACCTTTGTGTTATCTGCGTGCAACACCTAGTTTGGGAATGGAAGAGGCTTTTTCTAGTAGTTCCTATGTTTTATCTGAAATTCCTCTAAAAGTAGGAAGTTGAATTCTATTATCCTTGTTTTACAGATGAAGATTGAAAAACAGAGAAGCTAGGTGCTAGTTAAGTCAGTAATAGCATCCAAACCAATGATACAATGTTTGAATTAGTATGACCATTCCCTTTTCAAAGCTCAAAGTATGGCTTGTAATTTAAAGAAGTTCACCTCTTGATTTCTTCTCACCTTTTAGTTTCCTCAAGATTGTGAGACTCTTGTAAGAGATCACAATTAGATGAGTCAGAGTTCAGTTATAAACTCTTTCAAGGCAAGCATCATGGCTCTTCCTTAAAGGAAAATTGTAAAACTCAAAGCTCTTTGGTTCTGGAAGATCAGATCATAGTCTTCTTGCCTTCTCTTTCCCTGTCTTTATAGAAGCTGATAATAAGAATGACCGAACTTCACTGCACCGGAAGCTGGATAGAAACCTTATCCTGTTAGTTAGAGAGAAGCTTGGAGACCAGGATATTTGGATGCTACCCCAAGCAGAGTGGCAGCCTGGAGAAACTCTTCGAGGTACAGCAGAGCGAACTCTGGCCACACTGTCAGGTAGGTTCTCTGCCTTCCTCTAAATTTCACAAGATTCACTTCAGACTTGGCCAGACATGATTATGAGAATGGGTTTAAGGATGGGCGTGGGAAGGTTAATGGAAACTTTGATATTTATAAAAATTTCAGTTAGAAAAATGTAGGTATGGATTTCTCTTGGACCTGGTGAGAATCTTTGTCTCACTGAGATTTTTTAACTTAGTACATTCAGAATTGATATTTCTCCCTTTCTCTCTGCCTGCTTATTGATACCACTGCTTATCTGTTCACTTGACCAGTGACTTGAGAGTTATCCTTGACCTTACTCTGACATCTGTAACTTCTTGAGTCCCACCTGATCTGTTTTAAATAGTCCCTTCTTTAGTCCCAACCTTTATTATTATTAGTTATTTATTTTTTGAGATAGAGTCTTACTCTATCACCCTGAGTAGAGTGCTGTGGTGTCATCATAGCTCATAGCAACCTCAAATTCTTAGGTTCAAGCAATCCTCTTGCCTCAGCTTACTGAGTAACTGGGACTACAGGCATCTGCCATGATGCCTGGCTAATTTTTGTATTTTTGGTAGAGACAGGGTCTCTCTCTTGTTCAGGCTGTTCTTGAACTCTTGAGCTCAAGTGATCTACTCACATCGGTCTCCCAGAGTGCTAGGATTATAGGTGTGAGCCAGCATGCCTGGCCTATTCCCACATCTTTAGCTGTGACCTTCTTTACTTTTCACTAGGCCAAGGTTTTTCCAACTTTGGTATTATTGATGTTTGGGGTTGGATAATTCTTTGTGGGGGAGCTATTCTGTACATTATAATATGTTTAGCAGCATCTCTGGCCCCTAAGCCACTAGATGCCAGTAGCACTAGCTTATCTCTCAGCCTCTCTGTGCCACAGTGTGACAACCAAAAATATCTCTAATATTACCTGGGGAGCAATTACAGTGGTTCAGAACCACTACACTGTAAAGTAGATGCCAAGTACATTTCCCTTTTGTGCTATGTGGCTGGTAAAAAATGCCTTCTTGTCATAACACAAATCTCTTGTCACTTCTCTGCATGGAATTTTTTTTTTTTTTTTTTGAGACACAGTCTCACCTATTCACCCTAGGGTTGAGTGCCATGGTATTATAGCTCACAGCAACCTCAAACTCTTG